GGAAAGAAAAATTATAAAAAAAGAAAAGGGAAATTTGTTCACAAAAATATTTTTATTTCTTTAAATTCAACCCTTTTGCATTTTAGTTATTTTTATTAAGTTATTTTGAAAAAGGAAAAAAAAGAAAAGGAAAAAATAAAAAAATGAAAGCGAAAAGTAGAAAATAGCAGTTTTGCCGCTTTTTATTTTTAGTTTATTCATTTTCACTTGACAATTAATTAAATTACTGTTTTTTACTTTATTTTACCATTTCGTCTTTTAATTTGGAAAAAACAAGAGAAAAAGAAAAGGAAAAGAAAAAGAATAATTAGCGTTAGCATTTCATTTTAATTTAGCTTTTATTCATTAGTTTTCTTTTATTATTATGTATTTTGTTAATTAGTTATCAATGTTAATCAATTAAAACTATTAAAAAAAAAAAAAAAAAAAAGAGCAGCGGGCATGCAAGCTGCATATTTTGGCAGCTTGCAAGGACGGTCATGTGCCCATCGGATGGCCAAGAAAGGGGCTTTGAGAGGAGCATGATTGCTGACCATTAAACACAGGGTTTTGGGGGTGGTTAGCTCATATAAATAGAACCAAAGACATCAGCCGCAAAGGGAGCTTCATAGTTGGGAGAGTTAACGGCTAACAAAAACAGAGAGGAAATAGAGTAAGAGTGACGGGGAGGGAGGTGAACGGCAAAGAGAAAACAACAAAAGAGGGAGGTGGACGGAAAAAAGAGAGAAAGGTTGACGGTGGAAGAAGAGGGGGTAGAGAGGGACGGCGATAGAAAGCAAAAGCTACGGGAAGCTTATGGAGTTGGCGACTGTGAGGGTTTAGAAACAAAGAAAAACCAAAGGAAGAAGAGGAAGAGAAATCTGGGGGCTTCATCGTGGAGAGGGGCTGACGGGGAGGAAAGTAAAAACAGCAAAAGAAAAGCTAGGAGCTACGGCTGAGTGGAGAGCTGGGGGCGGCGAACCGAAAACCAGAAAAAGAAGAAGAAATTTTCTGCAAAATTTTCGGCAGAATGGGCTGATTTTCGGCACACCTTGCGGCATGATTATTTCCTGTCTGGTTGTGCAATCCGATTGGATTTTTGTTTCTGCACCAAGTGGGGAGTAAGGGGAGGATTTCTTGTTCAGAAATTGTTCACAAATAACAATGGGAAGATCGTCAAATCTGACCACCAAGGAGCTGCTCTTCCTCCACTGCACAGAACGAAAACGCAGCAGAAACTCTTGTTTTGGCCCAGCAATTCAGGTGATCGTTTCTGAGCCTCTTCCATACTCGTTTACATCCCTTATTGTTTATAGACGGAAACAATTTCTTTTAGCTGAAACTTTCATGAAATTTCAGGAAATCTTGCTTGAGCTTTTCCTTTTCCTTTGAATAAATCGTTTTTTTGGATTGCTGGAGTCGTGGTTTGCTTAACAATGCTTGACTTGTTTGCTATTCGACTGAGATGTCGCGTGTACATTGTGAAGCTTAGAGCTAAAGGCCATCAGTGTCTTGCATCTTGTTTAGCCAAAAAGTTTTCCATGTGAACTTGAGTCGCGGCTGCCAAAGTGGCAGCAGGCGCACTTTTGGTTGCTGATTTTTTTATATAGAGCCAATGATCCTAGTTTTCATTTGTTTTGATTTGAGCGGAGATGGATCGAAGATTTTGCATATACTTTGTTTGCCAAAGGCTCGTGAATGAAGTTTGCGAATGAAAATCTGCAGAGAGAGTTCTTGCTGCATTTTTTCCCTTTCTTTTGCTGTTTAGTTCTTGTCGCCCCTGATGGGTATCTCGAATGTTTGGCTGCATCCCTACGACGAGTTCATGTGCATTGGAGTTAGTTTTGATAACTGGAATCCGGCTGACTGGCGAGCTTTTGGCATGATTTAATGTAGAAAGCCGCAGCTGGAATATTGTAAAAGAAAAACCCTGCGGCATTTTTTCCTTTCTTTCTATTGCTGTTTTGCTGTTTAGTTTTACCTCTGGTGGTCAGTTTCATTTATTGTTTTAATCCTGCAATAAGAGTTGCTGTCTTACTCCTGCAATGATGAAATGGTTATGCTTAGATGAAATGTTTTTGATCAATGCTTGGAAATGGAAATGAGAAATGCAGCAAGCTTGCACTTTTCCGTTTGCAGAAATCTTCTTGAGTTTGCATGAAAGGTTGCTGGAATTTACATTATCCCATCATAATTTGTTGGCTTGTGGAATTCTGTGTTAGTTTTTAGTTTAATGCCGATGGCTTTGATTGATTGGTGAGATGTTAGCTGCATATTAGGATTGTATTTGAGAAGTTTAGCATGTTGCAGATGAAAGGAACCAGAAAAACAAAGAGATTTACGTAGCATGCATGAAAGCTTTCTGAAATATTACACTTTGACCCCCTAAGTCTCTCCTAATGCCACTATGACCCAATTAATTAAAGAATTTCATCAAATTGGTCCTTGATAATTTTAATTTGTGCAACTTCATTGTTTGTTTTGCTTCAATTAACTACCATGCTCTGTCAATTGCACTTAAGTTATGACTTTAGGGACTTTATGACTAAGTGAGCCTTGTTTTGCCCATTTCTTCTAATTTTTTAAATAAAGTGGTGCCTTGACCTTTTTATTATTTTGGAGGGTAATTGAATAATTTCACTTCATTGGGGCGTCAATTCAAGGGAGGTACACTCTATCCTTCATTTGCGCTTCATTTGACCCTACGTGCTCCTACGTGTTATGTGAATATGCATGTCTACTTCGCTTTCCTTACCTCCTTGCATGCGTTTACTTGCTTTTTACTTTTATTTAAGTTTTATGGGGTATGTGTACACCTCTTCGCTTGTAATAGATAGGGCTCGGAGAGCCTCTAGTCCATTTCCCCTTTCCCTTTATGCTTTTATGGGGTATGTGTACACCTCTTGGCTTGTAATAGATAGGGCTCGGAGAGCATCTGGTCCATTTTCCCCTTCCCCTTGTTTGCTTGTTTTTGTTGCTACATGTTTAATTGCTTTGATAGGGCCTCGCATCTAGTCGAGCATGCTAAATGTTATGTGCTATGTGTTTATACGTGTTTGGCATGTCTACTCGCTTTCTATAGCATGAATGAATGTGATGGATGAATGTACGTCACCACACTAGTCCAATGCTAGTTGTGGCTCATTAGGTATTTCTCCTCGTTAGCACATCATTTGCTTGTTCACCACATATCACGCATTTTTCTTAGCTTTATCATTTGGCATGCTCCTCGAGCCCCTTTTCCCTCATTTTAGGAATTTTGCATCTCATGCTAGTTAGGGTACATTTGCCTGAAGAGTCCCCTTAAATATGGGATATAGACGAGTGTGGCTTTTTCTAAGCCTTAGCACGCTTGTATTCCCTCTATCAAAGGGCAAATTGAGTCACGATTTAGGTCTCCCCGTACCCATCTTGCTTGCATTCCCTAGGCTCATGCATTCTCAATCCACTCTATCATCACACTTTAACTTTTGTCTCATTTGCACACATGCACCTTTTTATCACTTTCACCTGCACACGAACACTCTTTTATCTCCACTTGCACACGAACACTTTTTTATCTTCACTTGCACACGAGCATTTTTATCTTCACTCGCACACGAGTACTTTCATCTACATTCGCACACCTTCACTTATATCTTATTACTTTTATAATTTTTCTCATTTCACACAAACTCACACTTTCACATGGCATGCATTCCACTCACTTTTTACGTCATTTAGGTTTAGGTGTGACCTCTCCAAAAGGATCATTATTGGGCTTCACAATTAATGTGATTGGCACCACTCAACCTTTGAAGAGAAATTTCCCCCAATCCCCCTAGGTCTAGGTTTTTGCATTCATATAGACATATCCAATACGCGATACATACCTTGGGTAGAAAAATTAGGAAAAATTGGTTTGAGTCGCGCAACTAGCCTTGGCTAGGTCAAAGGGGTGCCTTGGATTCTATCCTTGCCTTCCCCTTTGTCAAACGTGACCCCCGAACCTTTTTCTTTGGCTTACGTGGACTAGGAGTCGTTTTAAAAAGGGTTTTACTACTTTGTCTTTAAAAACACTTTTTGGGTGACTTGGTACACCCCAAATCTATACCAAGTGGCGACTCCGTTTTCATATCTAAAAAACCCTTTTTAAAATTTCATTTGGCCAAATCGTCGCTTTCCAAAGTCCCATGGCCTTTTTACTTTTCATTTTGCACACGTTCACACCACACTTCACACACACATCACTCACATCACACATACTCATTCGAAAAGTGGGGCGCGACAGTATGATTACAAAAATGAGTGCCTTGGTCACTGATGATTTTCTTTGGCACACCAAACCTACTAAAACTGTAGGGCTTAAGAAATCCTGCAACAACTCGTGAATCATTAGTCCGAGTAGCCTTGTCTTCTACCCATTTCGACACGTAGTCTACAGCTAATAAGATATAAAGGAAACCAAAAGAACTAGGAAATTGTCCCATGAAGTCCATACCCCATACATCAAAGATTTCACAAAATAGCATAGGAACCTGAGGCATTTCATCTCGGTGAGATAAACTCCCAAACTTTTGACATTTTTCACATGTCTTACAAAACAGGTAAGTATCTCGAAACAAGGTTTGCCAATAAAAGCCACAATCAAGTATTTTTGTAGCAGTTCTCTTAGGACCAAAATGACCGCCACAAGCATAACTATGACAATGAGTAAGTATAGAGGGAATTTCCTCATGTGAAACATATCGCCGAATAATCTGGTCAGAGCTTATTTTTCACAAATACGCCTCATCCCAAATGTAATATCGGAAGTCCTGGATAATTTTATTCTTCTTATTCTTACTCATACTACTTGGAAATTTGTGACTGACCAAAAAGTTAACAATATCAGTATACCAAGTTTCCTTACTTCTAAGTTGAAACAAGTGTTCATAACTAGAAATACCTCACATATGGGCATTCTTTCTTCTTCTCGAATCAATCGGCTCAAATGGTCTGTCACTGAATTGTCTACCCCTTTCCGATCTTTGATCTCCCAGTCAAACTCTTGCAGCAGGAGTATCTAACGGATGAGTCTTGGCCTGGACTCCTTCTTTGCGAACAAGTATTTCAGGGCTGCATGGTCCGAAAAAACTGTTACTTTCGATCCCTACAAATACGATCAAAATTTCTCAAAAGCAAAAATAATTCCTAAAAGCTCCTTCTCAGTGGTAGTATAGTTGTATTGAGCTGGCGACAACGTTTTTGAAGCATAGTAAATGACATGGTTATACTTCGCAATTCTTTGACCAAGTACAACTCCCACCGCATACTAACTGGCATCACACATAAGCTCGAATGGCAGGCTCCAATCCGGAGGTTGAATGATCAGTGCGATGGTCAACATACTCTTTAGTGTATCAAAGGACACTTTACACGTCTCCCCAAAATCAAATGTTGATTCCTTTTGAAGTAGTTGGGACAATAGTTGTGCAATTCGTGAGAAGTTCTTGATGAATCGTCTGTAGAAACCTGCATGACAAAGAAAACTACGAATCTTCTTGACATTAGTGGGGTAAGGCAAGCTAGTAATCAAATCAACCTTTACTTTATCGACTTCGATACCCCTAGACCAAACAACATGGCCCAAAACAATACCCTCTTTCACCATAAAGTGACATTTTTCATTGTTAAGGATCAAATTTGTTTCAATGCACCGCTGTAAAACTTTTGTTAAATGGTGCAGGTATTGGTCAAACGAATCACCGTAGACTGTGAAATCATCCATGAATATTTCAATGCAGTTTTCAATCATATCAGAAAAAATACTCATAATGCATATTTGAAATATTCCTGGAGCATTACACAACCCAAAAGGCATACGGCGGTAAGCAAAAGTGCCAAAAGGGCAAGTGAAAGTGGTTTTGTGCTGGTCCTCTTGTGCAACAATGATTTGATAATACCCAAAGTAGCCATCAAGGAAGCAAAAGAAACATTTATCTGCCAATTGCTCGAGCATCTCATCGATGAACGGTAATAGGAAATGATCTTTCCTTATGGCCGCATTCATTATCCTAAAGTTGATACACATTCTCCATCCATTTTGGAGTCTCATTGGCACCAACTTATTCTTCTTATTCCGCACAAGGGTAATACTGATTTTTTTAGGAACGACATGCATTGGACTCACCCACTCACTATCGGAGATAGGAAAAATAATTTCTAACTCCAATAGCTTGAGAATCTCCTTCATTACCACCTCTTTCATGACTGGGTTGAGTTTTCTTTGACGTTCCCTCACCGGTTTTGCTTCTGTCTCAAGAAGAATATGGTGCATGCAAACGGATGGATTTATACCTTTGATATCTACCAACGTCCATCCGATTACTGGTTTATACTTTCACAAAACTCGTAGGAGTTTTTCTTCTTGTACCATGGTCAGATCATTTGCAATGATGATCAGCAGAGTGTTATGATCTCCAAGGTAGGCATACTTCAAGTGCTTTGGCAATTCCTTCAATTCCAACTAGGGTGCCTGTTTCATAGAAGATAAAATTCTCTCATTAGAGGTAGACAATGGTAAAAATGAGTCTACTGACCTGTCGAGAAGTGCAGGAAGTGAATGTAGTGACATAATTGCTTTTACAGTATCCTCATCATTCACGCTTTCCACCTCCTCATTCACCTTGCTCTGTTGCAACACGAATTCCAACTTGTCTTTCATAAAATTCTGCTCAAAGTTATCTTGCACAATTGAATTGGTGAGATAAACACAATTAACAGACTCAGTATCATCAGGGTATTTCATTGCATCAAAAATGTTAAAAATGATTGTCTCATTGTCAAATTCTACAGAAAGGGTCCCTTCATGCACATCTATCTTTGTCCAGGCCATACTCATGAACGGTCTACCCAGAAGAAGTACAGCTAAATTAGCGGAGTTATCATCATTCATGTCAACAATATAGAAATTCGCAGGAAAGATAAACTCATTAACTTTCACTAGGACGTCTTCAACCACACCCCCAGGGTAAACATTGGACCTATCAGCTAGTTGAATTACCACTCTTATCTCTTTTAAAGGTTCTAAGTTCAAGGCCTTAAATATTGATAGAGACGTTAATAGATGTTTCTAGATCAAGCATACCTCTTTCTATCCTTTTCTGGCCTATGATGCAGGGTATCGTGAACATACCTGGATCTTTGCATTTTTGTAGCAACTTCCTTTGAAGGACTGCTGACATATTCTCACCTACCCTTACTTTGTCTTGGAGATTCAACTTGTTCCGGTTAGTGCACAACCCCTTCAGCAACTTTGCATATTTTGGCAACTGCCTAATCGCCTCAAGTAATGGGATGTTGATTTCCACTTTTCGAAATGTGTCCAAAATCTCCTTCTCTGACTCCTCTTTCTTGGCTTTAGTCAACTTGCTAGGAAAAGGGGGGTTAATGTCAAAGGACTTAGGAACAATTGGCGTGGTGCTTACCTTTTCCTTTCAAGCTCCCTACACTCTCGTTCATCTTCTACTCCTGTTGCCTCCGATTTCGAGGATTGCACCTCCTTTCCACTTCGTAAAAGCATTGCACTTGCATTCTCTTTTGAATTGGCGATTACCTGAGATGGTAGCTTCCCTTTACCATTCTCAAAGTTGCTCATTGAAGGCGCCAGTTGTGACATTTGCACATCCAAAGCCCTAATGCTTGCGCGAGTCTCTTGTTGAAATCTCTGTGAGTCTTGTTGAAATTTCTGTTGGTCCTACCGCATTTGACAAGTGCTGTCAGCTAGTGATTTAACCCTATCTTCCAGGGACATACCTGAATCAGATATAGATGGTTGCTGTACTGGTTGTCTTTGCTAGAATGGTTGTTGGAATCCCGAAGGTTTCTAAGCATAGCTGAAGTTGGAGTGGTTCCACCACCTTGGATTGTATGTGGGCGCATATGGGTCATTTCGCCTTTGTGGTGGTCCAGGTAGACCTCCCATGATGCTGGCTTGCTCGTAAGGGTCTTCTTGAAGGGTCGGACACATGTCGGTCGCATGTTCGGGGGCAACACATATCCCACATGCTTTAGCTGCTTGTATTTTCCCTACTGCCATCTGACGAATCAGAGCCGTTAGTTCAGTTAATTTATTTGCCAAGTCAGAATGATTCACCTCGTTGACTCTCCTAGTCATGCCCTCAGATCTGACTCCAAATTGTTGAGAATTCTCATCCATGTTTGAGATCAGCAATTTGGCTTCATCTGTTGTCTTATTAACTAAAGCTCCTCTACTAGCTGCATCGACCATGCTCCTATCTATGGGTAGGAGTCCCTCGTAAAAATACTGGATCAACAGTTGGTCAGGTATTTAATGGTGCAGGCAACTGGCACACAGTTGTTTGAACCGTTCCCAGTGTTCGTAGAGAGTTTCTCCATTTGCCTGTCTAACCCTACATATTTCCTTCCTAATGTTGGCGGCCCTAGAAATGAGGAAGAATTTCTCAAGGAATTGCCGTTTTAATCCTTCCCACGTAGTGATGGACCCCGATGGCAAGTAGAATAACCAGTCCTTGGCCTTGTCTGCTAAGGAAAACGAAAACGCACGCAACTTGATTTGTTCCTCCGTCACTCCCCGAAGTCTCATGGTTGAACACACTACATGGAATTCCTTAAAGTGCTTGTGTGGGTCCTCACCTGCAACACCACGAAAAGTAGGTAATAAGTGAATTAAACCAGATTTTAGTTCAAAAGCCTCCTCAGTGTCAATATACGTAATGCACAGAGGCTGTTGGTTAACATTCGAGGTTGCAAACTCCCTCAAGGTCCTTTGGGGTGCCATTGTCTTGTTGGGTCCAGGCAAGTTTGCTTCCAGGTCAACTAACGAATCACTTAAGTCAGGATTTTGCTCAAGTCCAGATGGTTGTGCCGTTGAAACTTGTTGCTTTTGCAACTTCGTCTCCTTCGTCAACGTCCTTGCGGTTTTCTCGATCTCGGGATCAAATTCGAGTCTTCCTGTGCGGGAAGATCGAGGCATAAAACAAAGGCTAAACAAGCCTGTGCGATAAATCACTTCAAGCACCAGTTCCTCGACAACAGCGCCAAAATTTGGTGTCTGTCAAACTACCAAAAATAAAATTTATATTAGACCTACTACCAAAACTGAATGAATATAGTGGTGAGTAGGGTCGTCTCCTCAGGAAACCGTTAGACTTATCACATACAGATAATTGAGGGATTTTTGGAAGGGAGATAAAAGAAACAAATTAAAGATGTAAGGTTACTAAATAAACAATTGCTAGAAGTGCAATAACTAAAGAATGTAGTAAACAGTTGATTGATACAACCTAGTCAAGGAGATAATCTCGGCACCGGCTCACGTAATTGATCATAGATACCCGAATTAATTCACACGTTCGCAAATAAATTGGTTAAAGCAATTCAACAACCGCCAAACCACCAATCTCTCCTTAATTATATGGTAGTCTAGAGACACTCTTAAACTACCTCCTTATAAAATAGATAACCCCAGAGACGTTCGAAAGATTTAATGTATTCACAACTTTAAGAATTAGAGAGACCTAATTCTAGTTAACAAACACACGTGTGGGTTCATTTAAACTAGATTAACTATTCCCACGACCCAGATTAGACTGCTTGTAAAGCAATGAAATTGTGCTGTTTGCCACTAATTTAAGACAATCAAGTGATACGCACCCTTGTCCTAATTGGCGGTATACTATTCAGACAATTGAACAACTGGCCATATTGATCCAATAAATCCAAACAATAATAGGCTGTTGAAACAAAGAATAATTAAATAACCATGAACACGGAATTTAAAATAGAGCAAAACGATTAAAACGATCTCACAATTGTCCGTGCACCTGGCCTTGATCATTCCTCAACTAGATAAAAGAACTTAGCCTAATCTCATGCCGTTGATGCAATTCAAAGTTTTCATGGAGTTTAGTCGACTGAAAAGAGGTAAAGAGCGGCACAACCGCTAGTCTAGAACTCACGTTGAGAACGAAAAGAACAAAGATAAAAAGGGACCGAGATAAAAGATCAAACTCCTAGTCTATTGCTGTCCTCTTTTATAGTGTTTGCGCCGCCTCCTGTTTGCCAATTCCCAGTTTGTTTCCAAAAAGGATTGCTTCCCTATGTTCCACTTTTAGTTGTTGCCAAAGGTCTCCTTTGAAAAGGTTTCCTAATCCCACGCAGGTTCAAAATATGTCTCCCAAGAATAACGGTAGCTCCAGGGATAGGGCCCGTGATCCGGCTTTTTAACGTAGCTCTGCTGTCTCTGGCCTGAGCACGTTCTGGAATGACTAATCTTTTGAAATTTTGGCACTTTTTGCCACTTTTGACACCAATCGCCTGCAACAGACGCATATACCAATTATGAGGAGAAACCCATTACTCTTGGACAATAAGTGGCCAATATCAAGACCAAATATCAACGAATAAAATGCATAATTATCTCACTATCATGATGAACCCTAACAAAAAGCAAAAGACTGAGTATGAGTATATGACCATCTTCCCTTTAATTCAATATTTGAGTAATTTTATGCGTATCTATTTTTTTGTAGCCATTTCCTCTTGTCGCGCCCCATTTTTTGAAATAAAAAATAAAAGACGAGTTTAGAAAAATTGGCTTTTGATTCAATTTTTTGATTGGAAAATGAATTTTTGATTTAAAAAGAAAATAAAAAACATGGGTCTAAATGGGACTTGAAAATGCGACGATTTGACCCAAAATATAGTTTAGAAAGGGTTTTTTGAATGAAAAATGGAGTCGCCACTTGGTATAGAGTTAAGGTATACCAAGTCACCAAAAAAAGAATTTTTCAAAGAAAAAAGTAGAAAACCCTTTTTAAACGGCTCCAAGTCTACGAAAATCAGAGAAAAAGATTCGGGAGTCACATTTGAAGAAAGGGAAGGCAAGGATAAGAATTCAAGGCACCCTTTCAACTTAGCCAAGGTTAGTTGCGCGATTTAGTCAAAGATTTTCTTATTTTAATCTAAAGATTTATCACATTTGGATGTACTATATGAACGCAAACTTTAGACCTAAGAGAGTATCGGGGGGTCGAAATTTCTCTTCAACACTCAATTGGTGCCAATCACATTAATTGTGATGCCCAATGTGGACTCTTTGTAGAGGTCACGAATAATGCAAAAAAATATGAGACTCTAAGAAAAGAAAAGGAAAATAAAAATAATTATACAAATATACGTGACCTAAAGGAATGCATCATGTCGGGTACGGGGGACTAATGTTCGTGACTCAATTTTCCCTTTAATAGAGGGAATACGAGCGTGCTAAGGTTAGAAAACCAAACTCGTCCATATCCCATACCCAAGGGGTTTTCCTATATAATCAAGCAAATGACCTAATATAATTTTAATGCTTAAATGAAATGCAAGTCTAATGTCATGTTTCATACAAAGGGGTAAATAATATATATATAAGGGAAAATATGGGGGAAGGGACATACGTATAAGGAGGGATGTCATGCAAAAAATGATAAAAGACCCTAAAAAGTGAAAAATATGCATGAGAATGTAACGTAGTCATACAAACATGATCTAGCGTAGGAGGTCCCTAAGGGTCTAGCATTGGACTAGCCCATATCTAGGAATTCTCACTAGCATTGGACTAGTGAGAAAAGTCGGAACAAAGGACCACAACTAGCGTTGGACTAGTGTGTATTCGGGAAAAATACCACAACTAGCATTGGACTAGTATGGTGACGTCACACATTCATTACAATCAAATAAATCATGTAAAGTCTAATAAAGCAAATAAACACATAAATCACATATAGCACATAACACATAAACATGGTATCTAGATGCAAGGCCCTAAGAAAGCAAGTAACACGTAGCACGTAAGCATGCAAACCACACAAGCAAAAAAGAAAGCAAATAAAACCCTAACTATTACATTTGAGGGGGCCTACTACAATCTAAAAGGGGAAATAATAAAAATAAATAAATAAATAAATAAACCCCTAACTATTACAACTTGGCATTCAAGTGCCTTTCAAATGATCGAAATTGAGCTAAAATAAATATACAAAAACTAAAGCCAATAAATCAAATAAATAAATAAAAACATTCAAGAGGACATGCAGTTTAAGCATGTAAAGTCACGTAGGCACATAGGGTCAAATAAAGTGAGCAATAAGGAATAGAGTGTACCTCCCTTGAATCGGGGCCCTAATGGAGTGAAATCACTTATTTACCCTCCAAAATAATAAAAGAGTCAAGCCATCACTTTAATCAAGAAATAATCACACGAAATGGGAATAAACATGAGGTTGAATCAATCCAAGGAATTTAAAGGAAGGTGAACAACCCATTAAAATAAGTAATGACTTGATTGCAAAAACTAAAGAAATTTGAGGGGTCAATTTGATTGATTTATTGAAATTGTTTGGGCCATAGTGGCATTAGATTGAAGTTAAGGGGAGCCAAGTGCAATTTTTATGAAAATCCCATGCATGCAAACTCTACGAATGAAACAAACTTTCTGCAACAAACTTTCGCGAACTCTTGAAGCCTTCTGCAAATGTTTTTCCTTGCTGCAAAACTGGTAGCTTCAACCCACGCGGCATACATACCAAAACATTCATAGTTTCGGATTAAAGCGTGCAACTTCATCATTGATCATTTAGGCACAAAGCTTAA